TCACCTTGTAAAGTTGAAAAGTGTGTGTGTGTTGTTCCTTTATCTGTATTTAATATAAAAAAATTACCTGTGAATATCCCTGATAGTGTAAGTGTACTATGTTTTAAATTTGTTTTCATTGTTGACTCTTCTATTTGAATCCCTCTAGTAAAGTTGGTACCATTGTAATCCTATATTTCATGTATAGTGGTGACCAATGCATGGTTTTTAAAGATATTTAAACATATTGTCTCCATATAAACAAGTTAATGTATTTCCATGATATGTATATCTCTATAATGACAACCTCAATGTTGGAACATAAATTGTGGTTGTTTCTACTTTATTTGATATCTGGATGTAACAACAGTAATGCTCCTCTTTAAAGGTAGGAATACAGGTCCTTATCCTGGATAAAAGTAAATTTGTAAAAATATATTATACATTACTGCAAGAAAAAGAATAAACACATGAAATACTTTGATATTATTAGCTAGATGAATTAGCATGCATTGCTGGTTTAGCAGGCAGGGAAATCAATGGTTTCTTGACTTCTACTGTATCCACATCTTGCTTCTCAATATAAACTCGGGAATCACTGTTTATAGTAAGTGCTGAGGAAAACTGATTTGATCATTCATGGTAGAACATGAAGTATTGATCCATAGGGAGTGACCTATTCAGTTCACAAATGTAGATACTATATTGACTTAGAGAGTTGTTACTGTCAGAATAAAACAAAAATTAATTATCAGAGGATCATACGCCAGTATTAGAAAGAATTACTCTGTATACAATGCATGTTCAAAGTCTTGGCTAACATAAAAAGTGGAGGCACTCACAGAATTCAGAAATAAATTGTAGACATTTTGCTACACACTAGTTTTAAATCTAGTCTAGGTGCACGGGAACTGGATTTTTATCACTTCTGCATTTTGCATAGTTATTATAAAAGCAACATCAAGATTACTGTCATCAATAACAGACATCACAACATGCAAAAACTAATTTCAGGGAGGTGGCTGCACACACCTTGACACACACATACACACTCAGAAACCCACACTGGCACGTACATACACACACAGAAACACAGACAGACACTCAGATACACACACTGGCACAATCACACACACACACACACACACAGACACTCGGATCCACACACTGGCACACACACAGATACTCACACAGGCACATACACACAAATACACACACACTGACACACATTCAGATACCCACACTGACACATATACACAAACATACACCCACACTGGCACACACTCACAGATTCCCACACTGGCATACATACACAGATACCCACACTGGCACATACACACTATGATACACAGACTGGCACATACACACACAGTCTGATACTCACACTGGCACATACACACAAATACACACACACACACACAGATACACACACACACACACACACTCTGGTACTCACACTGGCACATACACATGAACAGATACCCACACTGGCAAACACGCACAAATACACACACACACTGACACATACATAGATATACACATTGAAACATACACACAGATACACAAACACACACACACAAACAGATACACACACTGGCAAAGACCCTCGGATACACACACTAGTACATATACACACACACACAATCTGACATACACAGCAGCCACCAATTAGCTTTCCTTTTGGTGTCTGGGTTGAGGCTGATGGGAGTGAGTATGTTGCAGCAGCTCACTCCAGCCTCTCCATATTGCCTGCTCTGGTACTGCCTCCAGCTTCCTCCTCCAGCTGCCTCCTTCTCCTCCCTCCCTCCCTCCCTCCGCAGCTGTTTTTTTTCAGCTGAGAGGAAATGAGGACATACCACTTCCTACCAGCCGGCAGATACTGGTCAGACTCTTAAAGGGAGGGGAACCTGACCTGGCCACTGTTCAGGAACAATACCCATCGGGTGGGTAATGAGTAGGGGACATTTATTTAAGGGCATTTATCATTTCTAATATCCTGAAAATCAAACACCCACAATAATCTGATATGTATTGTACATGCGTGTCCGGGAACCTCATTAAATATGCAGGAGTTTCCCGGACCTGCCAGGAGGCTTGGATGTCTGCATTAAGAGCAATATTTATTCGATAAACAGGCAATTGCCAGCAACTTGTAATTGATTTCATATTTTATGTTTCACATTTCATTTTGTATTTTGTCTAAAAATCAACTGATTTTTAGTTGAATCAAACTGCTAAATAGTAAATTTGTATTTTGTCTAAAAATCTACTGATTTTTAGTTGAATCAAACTGCTAAATAGTAAATTTTGGGCGTGCTCTTCATATCTGAGAGTCAAATTGAAGCGTCAAATAGTGCGGTTACAGCGCAGTTGTAAACATTCTAATTGTTTTTGTGCTAAACTGCTAAATAGTACATTTTGGGCATGCTCTTCATATCTGAGAGTTAAATAGTACCAGCAAATAGTGCGGTTACAATGCAGTTGTAAAAATTCTAATTGTTTTGGTGCTAAACTGCTTGTAGTGGACTGGGTCCTATACCAGAGTACGCCCCAGTTTCCTGGAGGGGGCTGCTGGCGCACCTCCTGCCCAGTGATTATGGTCCCAGAAAGATAGGACCCCTTTAAGTACAATGGCTGGGAGTAATGGAATTTCGTATGGCACTACCGGCCCTTTAAGACCTAGCCAAGTACTATTACAGAGACTTCGGACCATATACCTTATGCAGCAAAGGACATTGAGCTATCTATCACAATGTGTGTCTTTTAAGGTATTTTCATGTATTTTAATGTCTTCGGTTATATTGCAATGTTATATGTGGAAATGTATGCAGTATTCGTCTAATTGTTCGGTAGAATCATTCTAGCAATTATGTTAATGAAACTACCGAACAGTCAGACCTCCCCAGTGTGAAGTGTGCCTCAAATTACTGTTCGCAACAGTGTTTTGCCGTCGAGTGTCTGGAACCCAAATCGGACACTTGGCTAGGCAAACACCGCTGAGACCTCAACACCTACCTTGTATTCGCTTCCAAACTACCGAATAGCCCCCCGTTCGGTAGAAAGAAACAACCGAACGAGGGGATTCATGTGAACCCTTCCTGATCTCTGTAACACTAGCAGTTCGTGCAGTTTGTTCCCTTGTACTGTGATCGACCGCAGGGCCCCATCTCATGGAACCAATTTCGGCTATTCTCTCCAGCGCGGTCGGTCTTTTTATTACCTCCACAGATTTCCTGAACCCCTGGTCCGATCTGGGTGATTTTTGGATATTTTCCTCACCCAGATCAGGGCTACCAGGGGATGTGACATTTAAAGGGGTACCCCTAAGTTTAGGGGTACATCCAGAAACTGGGGGAATTTGTGTACTGTATAAGGGGATTATGAGTCAGGCTAAGGGGAGGAGATGTGTGGGAGGTTACTGGAGTATGACTGGGCACTGTAGTAATTACTGTAAATGCCTCCCTTGCATGGGAGCATGCTTTATAAGGCCACTGTGGGAATAAAAGTTTAGTTTTGCTCCTGATGCTGTGTGTCATCCAGTTATTGGGATTGCTTTTGGGATATTGCTATATTGTTTTACCTGCTGGAAACCTTGCCTTATGGATTTATAATACTTGTTCCTGAGCCACACCTGGACTA